AGACAGATAAAGAAAACACTGGATCTCATCTCGTATAGGGAGGTTAAAGATATGACTTGGAATAGTGCTGGCTGGAGGACAATGCATGAATTAGTTGCGCCGCTAACAGAAAACTCTTAAATGAAAAGAAGAAGTAATAAGAAAGATAATAATAGGAAAGATACATCTATAAATAAAAAGTGACAATACGATTATGTAGGCAACAGGTTGAGAACATCTGCGTATTACGAGTATTTAGGTATACCTTTTAGTATTTTGCCACTATTGTATTAGCGAATGTATCAGAACGTGAGTAAATATTTGCTAATTAGATGAGCCGCTTGTGGAAATTTGTAAAAACAATGCACAGGTTGCAGGTTGACTATTTCTGCCATATATTACAATATGATAAGGCGCCTCTTTGGCGCGATTCATATTTGATATAACTAAAGCGCCTACGCTTATTGTCTTGGTAATGTATACGTCGCGATATTATGATTGAGATTTCAATTGAATTTACGATTTACCTATTCATTGATATTTTGATCATATCTTGATATCACTATAAGCCAAAGGCCTTGACACACGGTGCTAATGTAATTATGAATGTGCAAAATAATTAACCACTTTGAAGTAAGATATCTGTTTTCCATTCGCTCGAATATAAATAGAAAATTGTAATTATTTAAGACATTTAGTTCTGTAAAAGAAACATCAGTACGACTGTGATATATGTAAGGCGTCTGTTGATTGTAATATTAATAATTAAATTTGCCTCAGAATAAAATAAAGTTGCTTCAAAGAATATACTTTTATGAGATATGTGATTTCTTATTGGTATTATTCATAAAATTTTATCTCCTCGTTTACATTTTTAGTGGGTGCATTATCAATAATCATTGTAAATAAATAATAGCGTACACCTATATTTTTTTTTTTGTACTTTTATTCTTAATATATCTATTAATGAATGAATATAAAAAAGAATTTATAGTCGTATTTATTAGTAAATTGATTTGAAAGTAGATACATAAATATTTAGGGAGAGATTACGTGACATTATTCAGTTTTTTAATGGAAAATAATAAAATGGCAACCTCGCTGGCGCTATCGGTATACACTGGCGAGGTACCAGTGAGGGATGATTGGTAAAAATGAAAAGGCAGGTCAGTTAGCACATCGTGACGAATTCAACGTTATATTAGTCACGATAGTTTCCAGAGGAAACCGCGTGGAGGTCGACCTGATAGAGTATATTCATAGCAATAGGGATTAACTTCCCTATTACTAACAATCCCTTTCTCTCACATTATTCAGTTAGTGTTTGTATCTACATACATTATGTATAGGTATTTATATATAAAACGATTAATCAAGCAGTGTAATATCAAAATAGGATATTAGGGCGAGTTACTCGGATTATTCTCAGAAGTAGGCCGACATTCTTTATCGAATGCCAATGCACGGAACCCTTATACACAATAACAGAACGATCACTATACGGGGTGTTTAAAAAACATTACTATACATATTTTTAAGAAATATTTTAACGTTTGATTATTATTTATATAAAGTAAACTTATTTACTTTCTATTATTCTCTTGAAAATATTTCTTGTGAATAGTAAAAAAAATACAAGTAATAGATTATATAGAGAATTAATATAACAGGTATGGTTTATTTTAGGAGCATACATATTACAATTTGAAATAAATAAATACTACAAATAAATGCGTAGTTGTGATAAACTCGAATAAGTATTTATTTGAGATAAATTACAACATCTTTATATATAGTAAAGTTATCCCATATTTTTATTATAAAGCAAATACCGCAGTTTAAGAAACAAAAACTTATAACAATCTTAAATTTGTAACCTTCACATAACACGTCATTCAAGTCATCGCTACCTGCCACTGTGTCAGCGTATATTTATAGTCTATAAGGTTACTAAAGTTACATAACAAGTCAATGACCTGTCGCTGCAATTTGGAACACTCTGTAGGCACGTGGGCGTTGCAGACGTTTTGTCGCTAAGGGTCGCTTTAACGCCTATTACGGCCCTTTTTTGTCGTTTTCACGTTAACAAAACGACCATTTTGAATGAGCATTCAATGAATGAAATTCCTAAGCCTCTAAGCGCCTCTGTCGTAAAAAAACTGTCCATTTAACTTCCTTTGGCCGTAAATTCATGTCTTGCGACATCTACCTATTTGGTGTCCGATGAAATATAGTTTTAATCATTGAATGTAAATTTATTATATTATTTTATTTTAATGTACAAAAATATCGAATACTTGTAAAGGTAGGACTAAGATGCGCTTTATTATACGATGGCTTTAAACAGTTCCCGAAGAAAATATCGATACTGGATTTAAAAAAAAAGAGCTAGGGTTTAGTTTATGCATAGATATAGTACAATGTGGTCTACGTAGCATAGAATTCATCTTTGAGATATCGTTCGTACTATCAATAAAATACAGAGGCATAACACCTTAGTTCTCAGGAATGGTAACGCATAAAGGGTATCATGGACGACACAGTATACTCTGGTATGTTCATGGTACTATTTATGTCTATAGGCTACGGTTACCATTTAGGTAGGTGGGGTGTCAGCTTATTTGCCATTTTAAGTTGCATAAAAAATGTCTTTGGTTGCTATGATACAGAATTGTAGAATGGATTGTCAGTGCAGAGATTTGTGTATAGCCATGCTATACAGCAATGGCATGTTGGGATTTCGCTTTTTCTTCAAACGTAGGTACCATTAATTAATTTTAGATGACGAAGCGTAGTAAATTTTCCTAATAGTCAGTATCCCATATTAATTTATTGTAACTAATTGCTTCATGTAAATAATATGTAAAATAGTAGGTATACTGTAATTAGTGACACCTATTTTAAATATATGACATAATGAAATTATATGTTGTGGTTGAGATAAAACAATGATTGAAGTATGTGTGATTCACATGGGTAGATACATTGTCTTATAATTTTCTGCAGTGAAGCAGGGATGGTGGTATCTGTAGGTCTAAGATCCTCTGGACCTTTAAATCTAGCCAAGCATTATTTTGCAAAAATATCTTATTAAGATTCACACTGGCGCTATAAGAGTCTCTCTTATACTTATACTTTTAAATTATACCTTTGCAATTATTACAAAAACTAATATAATAATGTGAAAAATTAAAAAAGAAACTTGTATATAAAAAATAGATTTAAAAACAGTATAATAATTTTTGAATGACTTAAAAAAGAAGGATATTCTTTTTTAGGTTATTCTATATATACATATATTTCTATATATACTTTATATTCAACAAAAATAAATGCAACATCTACTTAACTCATTGTTTGTCCCACGATTGACTGGTGGAGAATGGCGCTAGGTTTTATGTCCACCATATATATACTTATTTATAATCTATTGAAATTCAAATAAAGAAATATGTCAATGGAATCATTAAATTAGTAGACTTCTGAAGAGAACTATTTTCAGAAACAGCAACACAGTGTATTTTTTATTATCTATGGTGTTCTTCTTTTCATTTAAGAGTTCCCTCTTGTCGGTGCAACCAATTCATGCATTTTCTTTCAGCCAGCTCTATCCCAGGCCATATCCTTGATCTCCCTATACGACATGACAGTGTTTCCTCTATCTGTCCATCCTTTATCTATGGTGTTATGTATATAGAAATCACTGTAACAACCTACCCACTACGGGAATGGGGAAAAACTGCTTGTATACATTTTATTTGTGAATATTCGTCAATATAAACATTACAGAAAACAAAAATAATTAAGGCTTCTTTGTTTGAAATTATGACAGTACTTATGTATGTACCTATGTAAAGTAATTGATTTTTTTTTTATAAAAAAAGAAATATTTTGGACAACCCTTGGCGCATCTCAGGGGCGTGCTGCGTCGGCGTCTCAGACAATTTACCACATGAACGCTTTTAACGATACTTTGTTAAAAACGCAATTGAAAATACAGCGCGCACCCACACATCGCCTACATTTCGCAGAAGGCTCCGGATGTTCTATACAAGTTCTATGGGCATTGTGGGATGCACAAATGGGCGGAAACGTGAACATTTGAGAACTGGTGCGCGATGTGCGCCGGCGCCTCGCGACGTGCTTTTGGTCACAAGTATCGGATCATAGCGCCCTGATAGGTGAGAGAATCTCTCCGATCTCAAAATAATATCAAATAGTAGTTTTGTGCCGGTAATTATACGACATCTGAGAGACTTGTATAATATAGTTCAGTATATATTTTAGCTTATTCTTTTGTCCTTATACGCTTGTCTACTATTTTGTGCCAAGACTATTTTGTTAAACATTCTTCTTTCATATTCTGCTTTCTAAACTATCGCTTGTGTACTTTCTTTATGTTATAAATGTGGTATGGTAACAAATATAAACTAATAAAAACATTAGTCTGTCTGCGACCGAATTATTAGATAATATTTTTTATAAAAATAGGCAACCTATTGTTATATTACCCAGAAAGTATTTGTTACAGTAATAGTCCAATAAAGTAACAAAAGGAATGACGCCGGTAACAAGTTGCAGTTAGATAACAATAGTCATTCTTATCTTATCTCGGTAACTTGAAATTATGGCATTGTTTACAAACAGGTGGTCGATTTCGTTGGTTATAAACTAAGAGACAGATGTTCGAAGTGCCATGTCTGGTTAACGGTTATGGTTCTATGATGGAGGCGCGGTGTGTGAGTCATCTCTTTCATTGAGCGGTGGTCCATTGAGGCGCTTTTGCTCTTGGGCTCATTACTGCTCCGCCGGCCGGTCCTGCGCACACGCACTGCGCGCTCGCGGACCAATAACACCGACGCACTGCCTACGATATGTTGGCTCCCATCTCTCGATACACCGTGAGTTTAACCTACGATTTCCGCTGATTGCAAACCCACAAGTTTTAAAACAGATGAGAAGCCTTATTTGTAACATCGGTTCTCGGCAATTATCTAATGTAATTATTATTTTTGTTGCAGATGGAGAATATAGTGAAATCTCATTTTTGGCTTGCGGCTGCGGCCTTTTTGGCTGCCTGCGGTGTCTGCGCAGGCGCTGGAGTCGGTAATAGAAGACCATTTACGCCGACCGACTCGATTTTAGACATCATCAATACTGAACATGTTGAGAAATTACTAGCCGAACGACGACGAGCTGAACAGGCAACAGTTTCTACATCCTACGTCCAAAGAAACGAGCTTGGCGATGGCAGTTCCGAAACAATGATTGTTTCCGCTCCCGACCAAGATGACAGTACGGAATTACCAGCGGGAGTGGAATTCCGAAAACTTTTAAAGTCCTCAAAGAACGCTCTTGTGGTAACCAAGAAAGAATATCTGAAAGAAGATTGGTGCAAAACGGAACCTTTGATTCAGAAGATCCGGGAGCCTGGTTGTCTTCCAACCACAGTGATTAATAAATTTTGTTATGGTCAGTGCAATTCGTTTTATATACCGAAAGGGCCGCGGCGACGTGACGGCAACGAAGAGCGCCCTCCGCCCGCGTTCAAGTCATGTTCGTTTTGCAAACCCAAGAAAATGATCTGGGTGACAGTGAAGCTTCGTTGTCCAGGTCAGAATCCGCCATTTAGGCTTAAACGTTTGCAAAAGATTAAACAGTGCAAGTGTTTACCGGTGGGCGTTAATTGATATTAATTTGGCGAAGGATCTTAAACATACGCGGCGGTGCAACCGTCAAGGTTTGTGATCGAGGTATATATGCTTCTTCGAAGCATCTGAATGGCGATAGAGAAGAGGAAAGGGGCAAAGAAGACTCGTCGGATTCCGAATCCCCGAGTGTTACCAAATGTTTTGGTAAGTAGGTTTCATATTGCGGACTGTGTACAAACTGATTAAACAGATTCTGATCGCGTGCTCTCATACGTCAATAGGATGACGTCATATGATGCATACATTGGATATCTGTGTAGAATTACTTGATAGAGCGGCTGCGACTGCAAGTCGTCAAGCAAAGCTTTAATTGTTTGTAGCAAAACTAATTACTGTGGTACAATAGTGATGCCCGGCATTCAGTTACATTATTAAGAACTAATGTTGGGCTGAATGATAGTGTCCTGTGATTAGAAATATCGATTCTTTAATGTTATTATAGAATGTGTGATATTAGTTATAGTCGCAGTAGATTACTCTTCAGTTTTCTAACGAGCAACACGATTAATTTCTAAGTGTTGGATTACTGTATATTGATTATTATTTATAATTCTTTGTTACATTATTAGTATTGTAGTTAAACGAAATACGCTTATAAGTACATAATTTAATGTTATTCGTAATTAGTTGTGTCGTTTCTTGTTCAAAATATGCGTAGAGGTGTAGGATATTGCAAAATAATAACGTACATGTACCCACGTAGGATTTAATGGTACCACTAAAATATTATTATGATCTCTGCTTGCACTCAAGATATGCATTTGTTTACATCTGTTTACATAATATATCAATTTATATGATCTAAGGTAGAAACGTAGATATATGTATGTCTGTACCGTTATAATGCTGTCGTCATTTATTTATTAAATGTAGTACATTGTACTTTTATGTTAGGTTGTAATACAAAATTAATTTATGTGTAATTTTAATGGCGGTTTAGTTATATAGTACTTACTCGTATGTATCTTGATTGTACTTGTTTGAGTTGATGAGATTGTTTCATATAATAGTATAATTTTTTTTTCATTGTAAATATGTACACAGTATTACTTTGACATTTCAATTTTTGTTACTTAACATAACCACTGATTTTTTTAACAACCATATATGATGTAATATTAATTGCAATTGAAATGATAGAGATGGACAATTTTATACGTGGGACTTATGACTCTTGCCAATGTTGTATTAGTTATAAAAAATAATTGATTTATTCCAGTATATTAGAATTAATAATAAAATGTACTTAATTTAACTTTTATTGAAAAACTATATATGATTATATAGATATGTATAACTCCGTTTGGTTACAGTGCGATGTTGGCAACATTGGAAAAAGGTTAATAATGTTGTTATTAAAAAAAAATATTAGGGAAAATTAAACAACATTAAACAATAATTAGATCATGAATTTTTATACTATATTCGCTTATGTTCTTGTTCTTACCTTTATACGGTACAAGTTTATATCTGTTAATATGAAATACATATATATTTTGTACTTGGAATTAGCTTCAATCTTGACATGTTTTGTTGAAAATAGTAATTTAAAATAATCTATAACAATTAATAATTATTTGTAACGTAGTATCCTGTCGCACTGTGAGCCATTGGAGGAAAGTTTAAACTGATTGTATTTATTAAGCAGCGAATTGTTTGTAAACGATAAAAATATTATTATGTTAATTTTATTCAAAATTCGTATCAGTAGAACGTATATTTCCGACATAAAATATGTAAAAATAAACATTTTTTCGTTTTAACTATGTTTTTTTTATTATCTGATTAAATTGATTTTGTCCATTTTATAAGACAATTATAAAATGAAAAGAAAAAAAAAATACTATAAATACCCATAAAAAGAAAAAATCCGTATTTTAGAACCACATAACTACAATATGAACATACAAGCCAAAAACTGAATCAAATTATGTAGTGAAATTCACAGCGCCTATATCCTGAGAAAGTTTAAGACACGTATGAGAGGTACTGCTTTAGTGTTTATAGGCAGCAACAAAGATTATAACTTGCCTTTTTGTTTGCCATTCTAAACAAAAAATTTCAAATTAGAAAACAAAAATTTCTACTGGACGTGGAGTATATGTAAGGAGAGGGAAAAAGAAAACACTGGCTGGATACACCGATTATGTAAGTATTTATTTAAACTGAAGCATGTGAAAGACATAAATATCTATTGCAACCTCATTTGAATCTCATTTTTTTATTTAGGTACACAACTTTACTTTTTCATATTTCATTTCATTCCATTTCTGAATTTTGTTAATAAAGTGACATTTATTAGGATTAATCAATAATTTAAATGTAGCTCCACTTATAGTTTACAAGATAGGTAATAATATTTTAGATTGAATATTGTATTTTTTAATGTATATTTAATTCCAATCAGTGAAGTAATTTTTTATTTATATTTGTAGATAACTAGACATATTTACAGCTACTCAAAAATGCCGATTTTTCGTTACTCAGTGCTAAATATACAGTTCACCAAATTGCTCAATGAAGCAATTTGTATTATTAATATGCATCTACGTTTTATGTCGTAAATGCCCAACTGGTTCAGTACTTAAATTTATGGACTCTAGTCTAAGAAATACACATTGTTAATTATATTCTAAAATAATTATGCAAGTAATAGTACTTACAGAAAATAGATCACATAAAAGTTTTAATTCTTAAAAAAAAAAATATTAATCAGTGATTACAAATACATAGTGATTACATAGGTAGTGTCTTTGAGACGTGTCTGCAATACAGTTAGATATAGAAATAATAAAATTGCTATATACAAGCATAAAATACAAAATTTTACTGCTTTGAAAAAAGTAGTTTTAATCGGTTAAAAGTATTTTCAATATATTTTGAGAACCAAATGTGTGTAGCCAAAATATATAATAAAATAATATATAATGTTGCATTGCTAAATCTTTATTTCGTACAGTATCCACCAATCACCACCCGACGGTAACCATTAGATACTTGTTAAATGGATTTATCATCTTATTTCAGGTAAGCAAGGACTAGAATAAGTAGTTGTATTTTCGTCCCCGATTACCAATCATTATCCGCGTTCAATCTCCTACACTCATATTTCACACGTTTTATTCATATTTTATTTGGCCCTTATCACCCTTTCATATCAATTCATATTAATATTTTGAGAGTAATTCCTTCGCATGATATATCTATTCCAAGATAAACAGTTAACTACAAAATTGAGGGGGGAAGGTTGTTAGTAGTGGTGCGTAATGCTCCTATTAGTACATTTTATCAGGTCGACCTCCATGTGTCCCCCCCTCACGGAAATCATCATGGTTGATCCCTGGTATGGTAATATCGTTACAATGCTTTACCTGTCTCCACTGATGTTCCGCCAGTTGTTACCAATACTATTGTACATTCTATTTTCGTTCTATTAATAAAAAATACTTTAAGATTCATTTCTTATTTCCTAATGTGTCATTCTTTGTCACCCTGCACACCCATCTTGCAGCGTCCTCTACCCAGCTACCATCAAAAATATAGAAATAGACAAAATTATATTAGTGTTGTTTACCTAACAATCGTTGGGTATCGATATTGTTCGATTAGAATCATAAATAATGTAACTATCGGTTGTGCCATCGATTATACGATATAATAGGTTACAATCAATAAATCGATTTTAATTGATCAAGATACTGTTGCTTTATCGATATAATCAATAGGATTAATATTAAGTATTGCAACAATAGTATCGATGATAAATAATTTAATCGATTGTAGTGTAACTCGCTAGTGACATAATTGTTAAACGCGATCGACGATTAAAATCATTTAAATTACGGAAACCTTAGTAATAATACCATCGATTAGATTGAAAGATTGATTTTATCGATAAGCCAAACGATATTCAGATTATTTTAGGTTACCCAGTCGTTTAATATGTAACCGATTATTAGGCAACACTAGGCTACACCACTAACAATCACAGATGGAAGCCTTTTCATAGCAATGTAATATCCAATAGTCATAATTTAATAAGCAATTGCAATCGTTTAACTAGTTCCTTTTCCCATTTAATTAACTGAATATTCTCAGTAGTAAATTGTAAGTAATAGAATTAAAATATACAAACAATAATTCAGCATACAAATTGATTTCAAATATATATTACTTAACTAATACACGTATTATTTGATAAACGTATGATAATGATTATTTTAATCTATGAATATATAGCCTCTTTTGACTTAATATTATTAATATATTAATATGCAAAATATAGGTAAGTATAGATAAACTTTTTACACCTAATATTATTTAAGTAGACTGCCCTGACTTGACTGCTGCATTTAGCATCGCATTATTTACAATATATCTCTTATTATCGAGGTAACAATATCTAAGTAAATATTTATTATAATAAATAATTAAAAATACAATTATAACTAGAAACAACGAGGGATGAAAGATATGCTTTACAAAAAGTACAGCTCTTATTGTAACCTTTTAACTAAAAATTATGAACTACTTATTTTTTTAACATTTAGGATTTTAATATAAGAAAACAACAAAGAAGGTTAAATAGTACGATACATCCTAAGCTGATGTCTTCGATTCGTCAGTTGTAACCTTTCGTTTTCATGCGAAACCTCTACAAAATTATCATTAGGGATTATTAAATAGGTACTCAACGAATTGGGCACATAAAGAAACATAGAACGGCACAGGACACACAAAAGCGCGAAAGCGAGATTTAAATGTAGTTTCCACGAACTTGTTTTTAATTACATACAGCGTCATTTTTATGGAAACGTAAAACAAAAGTTGCAAATCTTGCTTTTCGTTTCTATAAAAAGCTTTATTTACACGAGATTTATAAAATGATAAATGTATTAATAAGTATTTAAATGCATCTATATAATAGTTTAATGAATAGATTTTTGAATACATAAGTGTTTTTTTTAATGTATAAAATCAACAGTTTATAAAATAAACAATTTTATTTTACGCAAGTAATTATTTTTTTTTGGAAAAAGAAAAATGTATTCATATTACAAGTCTTGTTTTATTAGAAGGAACGTCCTTACCGTTGCATGAATGACTTGAGTATATTTCTCATAGATTAGTCCTTCAATATGGCATAATTAGATATGTTAACGATGTTTATTATCACCAGAGAGTTAATGAAGAATTTAAATTGACATACAAAATTTTGGCATGGATCAAATTTAAACTCACAATAAGCACCCTCTAGACTCCCATGCTTTTAGAATATACCATCTAAAATATATGTGGACAAAATCACGAGCACATTACATGAACAATCCTCATATGGAAAACAATGTAGTACCTATTTTCAGGAAGATCACATAGGAACAGGATATCAAGTTGACATAGGCACAATAATTGATGGAAAATTCTTTTATCAATGAACAGGAAAATGACTACGGAAAATTATAAGTCACTATTATTCAATCTCAGTTTCCATTGCAACGAGTATTATGTCAGAACCTACTAATTTAATGTTTTTATACTCGAATCTATCTCAAAATAGTAATTTTATCTAATGAGTAAATTTGGATAAATATGAAATGTCTAGAATGTATCACATACATTTAATTCGGCCCGGATTTGTTCGCATCCTTGTGCATAAACAAGTTTATAGTAGTTTAGCTTTTCATGAAATGCATGTTTGTTTGCTAAAAATACAGTATAGTACAGTCTTTCTCAATTTAAGTTCTTTTGAAATTCGAATCGTGCTCGAATATTGTACTGGCTTCAGATCTTACACATTTGTCTTTTTAAATTTCATTATTTTAAAAGGATCAGAGGGTCTTTAATAAGGATCACATATTCTACTGTTTTCTTTTGTCTATCAAATTGGGATACGTACGAATCCAGACTTAAGTGGCGTTATAAGAGATATACTTTCGTTCGTTCAACCCTCGCAAATAAAAATTTTCTTTGGTCTGATGCGCAATTGGTAGGTGCCATAGTTTTGGCCCTTATGTACAACTTATATCTAACTTATAAATATCTAACTATACTAAAGTCTTTGAGACTGTTATGTAATGTTAAACATTCAATTCTTATTAACTAATTAAATGGATTTTTATTAAGTTTACTAATTAAAAATATTTTTTAAACAACTTTACACACTTAAGCAAGCAAGATAAAGCATATTTATACTTTAGATCTAAATACCAGCTTATTTATTAATAACTAGTTACATGATTTGGAATGATTTGTAAATGAGAATCTTTGGTACAGATTTAGTTACAAAGAAATAGTTAAAGTCTATAACACAACAATTTAGATGTCAATTATAAAATAATTGGTAATAATAATACATTGTATATAGTATAGTATAGTATATAGAATGTAGTAATTTATACGTGATTATACAATGCATAAGTAATACTTTATGTAGTTAAATAAAAGTGGTGTTCCTTTTTAGTTTACTACTTTTTTACTCAATACTTATAAAATAATAATTTTATAAGTATTGAGTTCAAACTCGATTATATGTTATAATATGACAAAGAATATTAGGGTCACAATGCTAGTTTTATGAATAGACTACCAAAAGTTATAGCTATAATCTTATTCACGAAGTACCTACTTTTATGTCTCAGCTGGTATGGTGACTTATTCATATCTAAAACCGTTATTTCAAATACATTATGATATATGTATTTAGGAAGGTTGCAATAAATTACAAAGTGATTTTATTATGCTGTTTTAAAATAGCTAAAATAAACTAACATAATTAATCATTATAAAATAAATTTATAATAAAATACCATCGTTATGAAGGCAATGTACACTTATAAAATCGTTTGTCCTGACTATCAAATACAACCAAAACTACTAAGTTCAGAAATCTGAAATTTGGAATATACGCTTATTTTATAACATTAACATCTGTTAAGAAAAGATATTTGGAAACTTCAATTTAAAGGAGAAACACGAAACTATTCGTGAAATAGCTAGTGTAAGATGAATTAGGTTGTATTAATACAAATTTAAATACATTTAAAATGGTGTTCTGATACATTTTGCATTTATTTTTTTAAACAAAAAGTAATTAAGATGTAGGCGTTTCACACGCGAGAGGTATTGTGGTTAATTATTTTACCAATCCTATTATAGTAATATGAATTGTATTGAAAATATTTATATTAATGTATGTAGATCTGTTTATACAACACTGATTATGTCTATGACTTTGACAAAATATGGAAGTTAAAATTGCAATTAATAATTCTGCAAATAATTCTTTAGTAAACTAAGCACAATATATTAAATACATAGGGCAACCTATGTATTATTATCTTTTATATTTAAACTAATAAAATGAAACATGTTATCAAAATTATATTATATTACCTAGCAAAATAAGCGTTAAACAAGATGAGATCTCTTTCTGGGATGTATCTGTCATTATGCATTTTAAGTTTAATTGTTGTACAAATATATAAAATGAAATTACACATTTACATAAACTACATTAAGGTAAATTTATAACTTCTATATATGGCTTTGTAATGGTTATTTTGAAATTAATAAAATTTTTTTTCTGTCAAATCGGGATACGACTAGGAACTAGGTGACTCTGATCAATACTTTAATATCTATATATTTTCAAAATGGTTAGAATTGATATAATTACATTTTTTATACATTTATTTGAAATTGAAAACTGAATGTTAAGTGCCACAATTTACTCAACACACTCAAAGTCCATTTAGCACAAGATTTTAGTTGAAAATGGGCGTTCCACGAGGAGAAATATTAGGACCTCTCTATTATATTTAACGATGTTAGACACATTACGCATTCATTTAGCATTCCGTCATATTAACAGGGTGTAGATATATTTTTATAGCTTACTAATTGGAAATAAAGCCTCTTGAATGGCGCAGAATATTATGGCACTATACTATTGAAATCTTTTGAAAATGAGACCAAGTATATTGGCCAGTCATATCCCAGATTAATCTGAATAAATATTATCCTTAATAATATAGAGTTACTCATAGGATGTTTTTGTTTTTTTTTTCTCGTTTCAATATAAAAATATATTTTTTTTAGTGTAATAAAAATACTCTGGATTTACTAAATATTAGTTATTTACAAACTACTCATTTGACTAGAGTTACTCGTCGCAGCCATGGTTTATTCGCCATGGATTCCTTAAAGCTAGTTCTTAAATATTTACCCGATTTTAGTAATCCACCGTAACTGTTTAACAGTCGACTAGCTTTTTGAATATATGACTAGTATAAGTTTACGGAAAGGAACTAGAAAAGAATTAAAAATACAATACCTGATACTATCGAAATAGACAAAAAAAGAGATAATTTGTTGAAATATAAAACTATAGATGTTTCTAATGTAGATATGTCAAAATAAATTGTAACATAAGATACAACAATAAATATTTGTATTTATTAAGTTTGTTCTTGAAAAGTAATAAGTACCAACATACAATTATAGTTAGATTAGATTCGCCTATTTTAAAATTCAAACTAGATACAACGAGCTGATATTAAATATTTGCTAATCTTTCTTAAGAAAGATTAGAAGAAATTATATATTACTGGTCTTTAACATCAACTTTAATCGCGTGACTGGGTAAGAAATAGCCTATGTCTTTTTTCATCCCAAATAATATGTGTTTAATAAAACGTCTCGGAAACTGTTCTAATTATAAAAGATGTAGAACTGGCTACGAAAAGACTTAACAATAAACACTCCACTGAACCTGATTATGTACTGCCACATATCGTGAAAAACTGTAGAGCCATACTAGCAGAGCCCCTGTTATACATTTTTAGTATGTATATAGCAATAATATACGTGTACATTTCCAAATGTATAGAAAATAATAAGGACAACTCCAGTCTCCAAGGATCCTTCAAGGTGGAAATTTCTTGCTTCAGGCTGGTGGCAGATTCTTCTAGTAAAATTTTCGAATTAGATTTGCAGTTACACATTTATGCAGAGGTTTTTCCGCTGTTATCCGATGTTGAGGATAATTTTCGTCTAGGACGTAGCACTGCTAGCTAGATAAACGCTGCTTACTTCGATTTTGGTAAGCTTGCAGTAGTTGGTTTTACTTTAAAATTACTTGATTTTATGCCAGCTATTTAAGCAAAAGATAACACATTTTTTACTGAAATTTAGATTAGGCGACGCTATTAACTTAATACAATTTATCCACGTTAAGTACTCTTTCTGTTTAACTAAATATTACATTTACTTATTTATTGAATATTTTTTTTAATTATTCATATTATAATTTTATTTACACTACTACTTCACTGGTTGCAGAGCGGAGGTCCGTTATCTCGACTTTATATATACAAAAGAATAAATTATAACTATATACTAAATTTATACTTATATTAAGTAGATATAATATATAACATATAATACTGTTAATGAATACTAATATCTAATATATAAATAGGATACTTGATTACAAATAAACCTATATACATATCAAGTAAGACAAAATGCATTTGAAATTTAGCTAAGTACATGATTACATAAATTCTAAGGAAGACCTTTATATTGGATGATGTGTAACTTATATATTAATAAACTATAATAATTATTGTATTCCACTTAAGGTCTTAAAAAGTAACTGGGTCGTAAGTGGTATAAGAGAATAGAGTTAAAAAAATCCAACATTAGTTAACAATATTATTAGTTTAAAATTAACTTAAAATTTAACTCACTCAAAGATATCATGAGATTAAATGTCAAAGTATCTTAAGTTATCTTTCAGTACACTCCCTTTGTTACTCTATTGGCACACTTCCCTAAACCAACGGCTATGATTTCTTTATCTTTAGAAATAAGGGAACAGAATTATTTAAGGGGGGAGACTCATGTAAAATTTTCAAAAAATCGATTTTTTTTTTTTTCGATATTCTGAAAGTATACTATGTTGAGAGTGTACTGACGAGCCGGAAAAAAAAAATCTCGAATATTTACAAAGTTATAGCTAATACAGTGGAGCGGGCCGAAGTACGTATTGTCAAGTAACGAGCCAGGTAGTCGGGGCGCTTGAAAAGGACCCTTCTATTATAATACCTGGAAATATTTCTTTTGTTCAACTATCGAGAATCCTTTTTAGTAAATATATATATATATACTTTTACATTTCTGCACACGTGTAACATTAGTACACGAATAATCGTTAGTCGAGAAATATATTTAGTTTAGCTGGAGATTTCTTCGTGTTCAGTCGATTTTGAAAAGCAAAAATGCCGAATTATAAAAAAGGTACACGTGGGAATATTGCAAGAAATAACACCCGGAAACGAAAGTTTCAGGGCAATCAATTCACTAATAATGAAGGTGAAAAATTCGAAGCCAGTGTAAGCCATGATCACAGTGCCAGTGGCAAAAAACTCCATGCCCGTGATAGTGAAGATATAATAACAAATCCTTTACACGGGTACAGGATAATTGAATTTTTTACAGTGTTTACAGCTTTGTCTGAAATTGTGAAGTGCTCGGTGTGTAATCAGAAGATAAAATTCAATGAGTGTAGTTCCAGAGGTCTTGGTTTTAAAATTGTTGTCACATGTCCATGTGGTAATAAAACAATAAATTCAGGTCCTTTCATTAACAACGGATTTGAAATAAACCGGAGAATAGTGTTTATCATGAGACTTTTGGGTGTTGGAAGAGAAGGGATAAATTTATTTTGTAACCTGATGGACCTATGCACTGGTTTGAGTAAAAGTTGTTGGACCTGGAATTGCAAATTAGTCGGTAAGTAATTAATAATTCAGTAAAACTACTCATTTTCCTGTACTGAAACTTTAAACGCGATTATCTCGAAACTACTTTTTGAAAAACTGTTCGTGTTGTAGCTCAAAAAATTATTGACCGATTTGTTTGAAATTTGGTGAGGCTTTTCTCTACATTACTATCGGAAGGATAAACCTAAAACTTCAGGTATTTCTGATTGATTACTTATTTTTTTTGGGGTCAAAAGGGTCAAAAAAATAGCCCAAAATCGTAACTTTTTTTTAAGGCTGATTTTATATTGGATTTTATCCTTTTCTTTTTAATTTTATAGGTTTATCCTTTCCGTTTATATGTCCTGAAAAAAAATAATTTTTTTTTTGTGTTTCAGATCAATGGTTGATGAGTGACAAATGAAGCAGTTTCGGACCTCGCGTCAGAGGCAGCCTACAAGACATCATGCTGAGCCGCCATTTTGAATTAAAAAAAAAAAAAATAATTCTTTTTTTGTAGTCTTAAAATGTTTAATAAAGTTGTGTTAAAAGTTCTAAACAATTAAATTATTTTTTCACTGTAAAAAAAAATATTAAAAAATGACCGATTTCGAGGCATTTACATGAGTCTCCCCCCTTAAGCTACTTTTTAATACCTCATCTGACGATATTAGATATAATCTTATTTTTAATTCTCATCTAATGTAAAGGTTGACAAACTGTACTTTTTTATTTATTATACTCTTTTACTTTGCATTTTTTTTTCATTACACTAGGACAGTTCTTTAGAAAAGTATGTAGTTCAACTTCATTACGCTATTTCTATTCTAGGTCTCATAGATATTGTTAATTATTTCCACTTAGTCGTTTCTAGAGAAATAAAACCTCGGACACTTCAAGTTGATGGTAAATACCTATCTTTTAGATACTACTGCTACTTATACTAAAAGGTGTGTTAAGATCAAGACCATTTTGTAATAATAAGAAAATAGAACTTATAACACTTTAATTTTATCGTTCGATAATGATTTATTATCAAAGTACAATTTTTTTTTAAATCGCTGATATATTTGTAAAAATTTAGTCCGTTCCATTTATCCTAACCAACTTCCCCCCCCTAGGATTGCCATAGAGTCTTACATTTTATATATTAAATGTTTATTTATGTTCCTTGTTCTTGACATTATATTAGCCTTAGAATATGACCGATTGCATTCATGATAGTGCTGTCTTCTTTTCAGGGTCTACTAATGTCACTTAATGGAATCTTTGACTTAAGAAGTATCAGTTAAGGATTAATCTCAGTCCTTATAGGGAGGAGTCCTGTCAACACATGGACTACCATGTTTCTTACAAATACAATTTGTGATATTCATGTTAATGTTCACATTTAAAGTGATGATTGTGGTAATCATCGTCAAGAAGATTACAGCTTGTTGGATTCTTCTTCTGTGCTCTATATTGTTGTTCAGTTGGACTATTTCTTAGAGAGTCTGTGTCGTATTAAACGATCAGATACCATATTGGATGTTATATTAGTTACTTCTAAATACTTTTTTAACATCTGCGTCAACGTTAACAATCAAGTTGTTGGCGATTTTCCACATGTCTTTTTTTGTCTAAGTTAAGCAATTTTGAAACATAAACGCGGTATTCACGTTGACGCATTAACGAGTCCATGTTTACATACTATAGTATTGATTATATTTATGTCGGTTTTACTCACGTTTTAAATTCGGGAATGCCCGACATAAATAATTACAATATAGTATGACTCACGATAGTCACTATAGTTTTGTTTATCTGACTTTGTCGCGGAACGTAAAAGGCATATAGAATATGTACCTAGGCAGTAAAGGATAGCAAATAATAGTAATCAAGAGGGAGGGGGCTTACTTTGTGGAGCTCTGGATCTTCAGCTCGGATTTGGCTCATTTTATGATTTTAAATACCCCACAAAAGCTAAATTTTTTTACACGGTAAAAAAATTTTGCTTTACAAAAAATATATTACCGCCTTTCCTAATTCGATTTATGTATAATTTTATAGGTACTCAATATTTGTTAAATTCAAAGTTGAATTTCGAAAAAAGACAAAATGGAATTATTCGTACAAAATAATTTAGTTTCGTTTTTTGATGTAATAATAATTGAAACCTAATGGTTATCAACCAATACATTAGGGGGAATGTCTACTAATTATTAATTAAATATAACTATATCTAAAGTAGTTATTCACACTACAGGTATGAATATAAGTACCTAGTCCATATTTGAGTTTGTACAACTTAATTATATCGTGTATAATTAATTATGTACTAAGTACACGTAGCCATTTATGTATGTTCATATTATATACTACCTAATGGTATCTTACTAACTAAATATATATTAATACTTGTCAAAATAATTACATTTTTCATTAGAATTCAATTAATTACAGTTTTCATATTTTTTTTTATATTATAAAAAAATTTAGGGATATATCATACAATTAATATTAACAATAATAAATGTGAAAGGTAACATTATAATTTTTTTTTTCTCATAACTACCCATGACTATTTCAGTGTTAATTTTGTTTAATAAACATATATCTACCAATCAGATATTGTAAATAATTTGAGATTTTATTTTTTGAAAAAATACCGACCTCAATTATGGCAAAATAAGTTATCTTGATTTAAAAATTGAAGTAAAGAAACGATTTTGATGAAGTTTCTATGAAACTAACCTGAAAATATTCACTCTCAGATAAAAGTAGAATTTTCCAAATCGGTTTATCAATGAGGGATTTTAGAGGAAACAGAGATATAAAAAAAAAAAGAATTCAGAAATTATTATTTTGATTAAATTAGTTTTTCTATAGCCGTTGTTAATCATGTTAATTGAAATACACAATTTGAAGCTATTTTGATATAATTTACGTTTTATCTCGTTTAGACTTGCCTTTATGGTTTTATAACTTTGTCCAAGGATATTAATTATAGAACCCACTACTCATCAAAACATCTGATTAAAATTCTAGGATTAAATGAATACTTGTATATAAATATTTCTAATCATTTATCAGTTTCAACTGGAGTCCATTATCAGATATTCACATTGTTACTTAGGAAACTGGAAGTCGTTAATTAAAAGACTTCAAAAATTGGTTAAATATCATAGACAAAAACATTATAATTATGAAACTATGATGGTAAGTGTAGTACTTATCATATATTCGATTTATTAGATCGTCTTTGTGATTAATTTGACTTATACGTCTTCCTAGTTGGAAAGATGGCTTTTCAATTATACCAAAAAATATTTTTATGTTTTATGAGTAATTACTATAAAAATGTAGTTTAAAATAACTTATAAATTACTTAAAAATATATTGGTTTAGAGACTATAGCTTTATGTTTAAAATATATAATAATTATTATATATAGACAATTTTATATCGACAAAATAAATACATTTAAAAGCATATTTGCTAATCATCACTAAATTATTTGATTATTAAAAATCAAACGTCTACAAATTCAGCAAATATATTTACATCTAACAAAATTCACAGCTTCATCGTTTAGAAATTGATTAAATTAAAGTGAAATATACACACGAGTATACATATAGATGGCATTATAATTACGACCACTTATCTGCAAATAATATTATTATTACACTTCTACATAGGAATACATATTATAATTTAAATAATTTGAATTTAATTCAAATTATTAGACATTTATAATACATTTAACTATTAAAAGAACTTACCTGCGAGGAAGTTCACTAGTAGTTATACGAGATGATTCTTCCGAAAGATTTTTTTATTAAACATCTACGTTGTTATGTACTTACTGTTTTGGACCTAATACAATATCTACACATCGAGATCGATTTTAATATATCATTATCAAGACATATTTCTAGAAATTAGAGCATTTTTGGACAGTTTACAGAATGACATTTCAAAATTGGTTTTAGGTCTTTTGTTAAAGAAAATATAAAAAAAAAAATGTTACTTAATTAGAATTGGTGCAATCTACGTCGAAACGTCGGCAATAAAGCAGGTATGTAGGTACTATTTACCTGCAAATTTTTCATCGTGTTAAGTCCCGATAGTATATTTAGAGTTGGACTAGTTTTATAATAAAAAATTTAGATAATGTAATAAAATAATGAATATTTTGTAGTTATGTTTCCAAATTCTAAATTGTGTACCTAATTTTATTCACTCGAAATGACGTGCTTACCTATTCATACCATTCCATACTTACCATACGCATTCCAATTTAATAGTAAAATTTGGTGTAATACTCTTTGTTATATAAGTTTATGGTACTTTTTAGTTTAGTTTCAGATTTAAATGATTTAAATATTAGATTAAAAATTAAATAATTATAGAAGCTGTTTTCTTAAAAAAAAGAGAGAACTTATTTCAAATGAGGTTGCAATAGTTCTCCGACACAGATAATTCACAAAGATAATCATAGAGATGACACTTAGAGCGTAATTACTCTGAGCAATTTTAAAATAGACACTAATTTTATATAACTACACACAATTAATACACGTTAACATCAAAACCCTTTTTGGCGGCGATCGGCAGACGCTCGCCTGTCAAGTACGGGTTCTCGACCTGTAAGCAAAATATATTGTATGATAAATTACTACTAATATAATATAATGATAACTAACATAAATATGATGCAAAATAATGGCTTTAGGGTTTCATCTTTTGATAGTTTCTTGATAGTTACAGGTCCGATTCTCGTAAAATACTCTAACTTAGTAGCTTTATGCCCGTTACTTCATTAGAGTAGTTTTTAAAAGAAATGAACCACTTCCAGATGGCGTATCAAGATAAAATCTACACCAGTTTTTAAGAAACTTCTAGGAACACAACTGTGAAAACCGCGTTCAATTTGGTGTACTAGTTTTTGTGTAATATCGGAATAAACGTACAGACAACATTTCTAAAAACTATTTTAGCTTCTATTGCTCTTATTGAAACCGCTCATTGAATTTTTTCTTAAATATCTTTCATGTACAGACATCATCTAATTACAATTTCATTATTTCAGATATATTTATGTATTGGAAAACTGCATTTATTCAGTAATTTAGTACTTACTGTGAAAGCTGTGTTTAGTTTGGAATTAAATGACGCTATGTGATATATGCAGGCCTATTTATTTTAATATATAGATAATGCTCGAGTATCATAACAAGGTTTATCATAATTATTAATATAAAAGTAATCCAACGTGGTACTGCTGGATACATCATTTCCCTATTAGAAGCGTAATGTACTGCTACCATAGTTGCTAGTTGGCTTGGCATAATGTTTTATTTCGAGTTTTTCATCCTCCGCAGAGTTCCGACAAAAAATAATCATAAAAATCCCCCATAGTTTGACAAAGATGTCGTGTGACATGCACAAAAAATACAATTAAATCACTTCCTTTTTTGGAAGTCGTTAATAACCTGTTTACTATCTTCACCTGATCTGCAAAGGATTAATTAATGATGTTCTATATCATTTCAAACTTATTTTAATAGTTACTAACATCGGGCTTATATTTCTTGGCAACGAGATTCTTGTGATGTTCCGGGAAACGGAGGTCAAGGTCGGAGGAGGATTCAGGCGGGCAGCTGAACATGTGTTCCCCGTCGCACATGCATCGTTGAGATAGCTGGTACTCTCGGCTGAACGCTGCAGTGTTCTCGAACTCACTTATGCAGCCCTGATCTTCTGTGATTGCATAAAATATTGACTTATAAAAAAAAACAGCTTTCTTACTGGCGGATGCGGATTTTTTTTAATGGATGATAATGAAGTGGTAACCTCGTGTTAACAGTATACGCTACCGGGTCACCGATTAGTTAGCCCATCGTGATGAATATACCTGGAATTCAGCACGGTGGTTTTCAAGGAGGACCACGTGGAGGTCGATTTGACAGGGTATATTGCTAGCAATAGGACTGGTAGTATGCAGTACTAATAATGAATTATAATTAACTGAGGATTAATGTAGCGTAGAAGTAAGGTACGGTGCATTCAACTGCCAAGTTTGTATTAAAGTTCAATTTTTGTCTTTTTCGACTTGTTTCTCTGGATAACGATGTTAAGTTGGTTAATTATTTTGATTTTTATCTGTATTTTAAATTAAATTAAATGTGTTACCAGTATATCCCACGGGACACGGGTTCGGGGGATTGCAGTATGCGGGCAAAACGGCGTCTGTCTTGATCATTTGCCTGTTGGGCACGACTCCTGATGGCTGGAGACGCTGTTCACCCTCGCCAGCGCCACCGGTTACGTACTGGTGCCCCCACAACGAGCTGTAACAATAAATAAGCTGTTGGAAACCCCCTTATGATAACGGAAAAATAATGCAACCATCAAACAACTAATGGCACAACTTCATTTTATCCCCATGATATCCTAAGAAAAGACAATGGGAACGAAGCATAATACATCAATAATAAGAGAGAAAAAAACTAGAAATAAACCCTACAAACCTATACCAAGGTGCCTATGTAGCATAATCATTGATCAGCAATGGGATGTCAAAGATTTGCCTTGACAGAAAATGTACAAATAATGAAATGCATTGTGTTTTTTGAGGGCATTGGGGAAAGATCCTATCAAATTTTTTTTTAATTCCACCTCTAGAAAAGAGTTTTTTTTAATTGCACAGGAGGCAAACGTACATGTAACTTTTATTTTCTCTACATATCATGTAAAAAAATCTGCGTTAATTCGAAATATTTTGATGACTATTTTTTTTCTAATGAGTTGACTCGAGTGTTGGTGACCTACTAATTTTATTAAGATTGAAGGACTTTCTTTATGGAAGATTTAAAATGATTTAATATATATTCATTTGTTTTTTCTTTATTGAATATGGAATGGCAAGTTGCCTCACCTGAAGGAAAATAGTAACCGTCGCTTATAGACATGAATTGGATCATGGATGTGACAGAGTGCACTATGTACTTATTTAGTTGCGTTGCAGTTGTATCAAGGTCAAGGTCACCTGTGCTGCAGGTACTCTTGGTCGCGGAGGCTCGGGTTCGGGTTGCCGTCTATGAGCGAGTCGTAATCGAGCTGCTCGTTCTCTAGGTCCTTGTTGGCGCGCGCCATCAACGCGAGGTGGCGGTCGCTCGACGGGAACTCTAGGTAACTTGATGCAGCATCGTTGAAGTCCTTGCCCATACGTTCCATAACTTCACGAAGCAAAGCCTCTGTTAGTATGTGGTCCTGGTAATATAAATTTATTATTAATTCTCTCTCAGTTCGTAGCTCAGTTGAAACAGTACGAGAGCATTAAGATCAAATTTTAGGGGTCTATTGATTTTCCTGATCTATGTATCAGATGTATGTATACAGAAAGCTATTAGTAAATTCGCTAAAGGTTATTTTACAAGTAGGGCCTGGCCCCTTAAGAAAGGCGTGTTGCATATACGCCTTTTTTAAGGGGCCAGGCCCTTTAGACATAACTTTACTCGTGTGAGTCAAGATTTATCTAAATGTATAAAAGTACTTTGATCATAGTTATAAGTAAAATTCTGTTCTTGATTCAGGAGGTGGGCACAAGATAATTCTGAGGTGGCCACGGCCCATCTGGCCCCCCTTTAAATATGTCTATAAGAAAAACAAATAATAAAGAACAAACCTTTTCCCCAATAGAACCATGGGGGATAAACCCCAGGGTGCCTACGATGCTTATCGCCAATACAAGTAATTCTTGAGGGCCCATTACGAATCTGCAAACAATGAAAAAAAAAATCGAATTGTAGTTTATTGGTTATATTTGGGGGGGGGGGAGGGATTGTTAGTAATGGGGCTAGAGGCCCCATTGCTAACAATCAACTAACTATTAACATAAAGAGACAAAACAATTCAACAGTCAAAATAAAAGGTAAACCTCTTATAAACCTATTATAGCTATAATAGCCAAACGTCATAACGTTTTTATGAATAAGTTTATGTTACGATTAATTTTAGATTATACATATACAACAGAATAAAAAAAGTACTTTTTTTTTATTTATTATCACCTGTATTTAACTAGTATATAATATATGTACTAGATAATAAAAATTTGGTAATTAACTAGAAAATTGTACTTGTATTGTTTATAATAATTTCATTGCTTTTAAATATTGGTTTGATGGAAATAGCGGAATTAAGTTAGACCCATGTCTAATTAATTAACTTATAAGTTACATGGGTAGTTAAACCAGGACTAAAATACTAAAGATGATCTCTTTGGTACAGTGGCAGGCAAATTTCATTGCATAAATATAGCCCTGGATGCGATTTTTAGTTCTGTAAATTTAAATTTATCGAATTTTTTAAATGTCTTACGATCAGCGTTCTTGGTTGAAGACGAATCATTTAATCAAATGATTGGAGTGTTCATTGTTTTTTTAAGAACCGTATTAAAATACTACAAAGAAACGGAAAGAAAACTTATAGTGCAATAATATCTGTTCGTCCGTTCGTCACAGCGTTATATCTCAGCAATCACTAATGCTATTGATTTGAAACTTTAAATAGATTTGATATCTTTGTCAAAATATATTACAAAAGAAATAATTGAAAATATATTTATTTTTTAATATATTCTAAAAGAAATAATACTACTATTGATTCATTACTGTTTCGGAATGGGTTTACTAGTCCAAGAGGTATATCAGATGAATTCCTTTCATATGATTCTCAACGTGGATACGTTCTAAAATTATAATTTATTTTGTGTAGTTTTTTACTTATGATCGAAAATATGAAAATGAAACTATTCGCAACACTCTTATCTCCGATATGTGTGAAATGAAAAAATCTATAATAATTACAGATAATAAAAGTATGTAATATTTATATACATACTTACATGATTTATAAAACAATGTTTCTAATTTAATAATTTCTCAAAAACTAATGTTACAATACTATATACGTCATGTATATACTATACTTCAAACAAAATATGGTAACAAAGAAAGAACAAAACATATATCAAACAGAATATAAAAAGAGAATCATTTTCATATCAGCTTTAACTGTCCACTGCTAAATATAGACCTTCCGCTTGGGGGTTTTGCCTATAGTTGTCACGCTTGGCAGGCGGGTTGGCAACTACAGTTAGGCTTTGATGATGTTTGAAGAGTGATGCTGTTGTTTATCCCTCGATCATTAACTTTCTTTAGTCGCCTCTTACGACACCAACGGGACAGGAAGGGGTGGCCCGTTCAATGCCAGACCACACGGCTAATAAAAACATAAACTGCATAAAAAAAGAATATAAAAATAGAAAAAGTATACGAAAATATTGGCTGGACAAATAGCTAGCAACAAGTAGCATTGTTTTTGAGAAACTATTAAAAAAGTCATAAACAAATTTAGTTAGACGGTTCGGTTTTCTAATATAAGTATAGTTTAAAATAAATAAATCGCATTTGCAATAATAATAATTATTAGGTGTCTATTTCATGTAAGAAATAAAAAAAATGTTTATATATAAGATCATTTTGTCTCATGTCTATGTATGGAACATTTTTTATTTTAATGCAATTTACAATAGTAAACAAGCTAATAGCCTAGTTGATACACTAGTAATCATTACTTATAGACATAAATACACTCGAAAACAATTAATTCGGGTCACATAAAAAACCTATAAATCTCGGAAAATAAGAATGCTATCTTAATTAAATAAATTGTGTTTAGAAGACAATTAAATACTCCTTAATATTAAGTTATTAAAACTTCTTAATTACTGCGAGGTTATATTATAAAAAAATCAAATTTAAAAAAGGGAGACTTTCGAAGATGGATCAATGAAATTACTGCATTTGATTTTGCTTTTGTTTCTGATCTGTCATTTAAGTATGTATATAAACCATATTGATAGTGTTCAATATTTATTATTCAACCTGTAATCCTGTCGCTTACAACTGAAGAATGCACCAGAATCCGAATATAAGGGAGAATATTTGTCAAAATCGTATAAAAACCTTGGTGTACAGTATGCACAAAATCGCTTAAATGTAGTAATGGAAGCACGAGAAGGCAATACAAAGTTTAAAATTCAAGAAAATCATATTGTTGTACAAAAATTACATGTTTCCTATTTTTGTTTTAAAGCGAGATCAGCAGTTTTTTTTTCTTTATGTATTTTTTATAAAATAAAATGCAGTAACTTATAAATTTTTTAACTTTCATTTAAGGAGTATTATATTGTCTATTAAACACGGTTTATTTAATTAAGCTAGCATTCTTAGTTTCCAAGATTTATAGATTTTTTTTAGGTGACCCGCAATTATTGATCTCGAGTGTATGTAATATCCAGAATACATTGTGGTTCTCATCATACCTATCATAAGTTTGCAAAATACACAATATTTATTTTTTACAATAATATGGCAAAAATTAATGACGGCCTATTGATGAAAAGTGGTAACTGTCGTCTGCAGATATGAACAGCACCACGGACCTCGCAGAAGACTTTTTTTTTATACAACTTAGAATGTTGAACAAGCTGACGGTCCACTTGATGGAAAGTGGTAACCGTCGCCTATAGATATGAGCAGTACCATGGACATAACAGAGTATACTGTTTTGCCCATGCGTTGCCATTCCTGAGGACGCAGATGTTATTCCTCTGTACCCTGTAAATTCACGCCATATCCCACCCTTCAAACTGAAACACAGCCATGCAAACAAAACTGCTTTACGGTAGAAACACGAATGGGACAGAGGTAGCCAAGCCATCGACTTTTGTACAAAGTCTCCCTCTGGTAATAAAATGAATGATGACCATTTTTCCGTCATCAATGTCCAGCGGAACCCAAAAGATGTCGGATAGGTAATATGGATATAACCCATGTCTAATACCCATTATTATTATTATTTCAGCCGTTAACTGTCCATTGCTGAACATAAGCCTTCCCCATAAGGGGAGTTTTGCCAGTAGTTGCCATGATTGGCAGGCGGGTTGGAGGCTTTTAGAGATGTTTTAAGAGGGACGCCGTTGCCCATCCTTCGCCCACCCTTTGTCGCCTCTTAGGACACCCACGGGAAAGGAAGGGGCGGCCCATTTTATGTAGGGGCATACACGGCGACACACACAAGTACCCATACTGACGATTTTTGTACAAAGTCTCGCTCTGGTACTCGAAATGTATGACTTTGTGTTTTTTTTTTATTCAAGAATCTATTTCTTAGTTCCACATTGACAAAAAGTTGCAGTTTCATTAGATAGATGAGATATGAACATCAATTATAAGGCCATTTGTGCAATGACTAATCCGTCATCAGTCTCCATAGCGACAAGTAAACTTATTTTTTAGCCGAACGAAATTTTACGAGTGGCAAATGACGGGAATCAATCAAATGGTACATGACATAACATCATTGTTTGATGTTTTTGTAAACAAAAAACGAGTATGTACCCATTGTGTGGACACGTGTGTGGGAGTGCGATTAAGATGATATCAAAATGTTTTGTCATTCGGCCCCCTTTGATCCGCGTCGCGATGAACTTATGTGCGTCATTGGATTGTATTTTAATTAATAGACACATTAAAATATTAATAAACAAGCCATCCCCGCGGCTTCGTTCATGTTAGTGGTTGACGGAATTATAACACTTTCCCAAATAAAAAAGAAAATAATATAATACCATAGATACATTAAAGTTGCAGAGAACTAAGAAATCCTATTAATGATATCCTATTAATATTAAAATTGCGAAATATCCTATCCTATTATGAAAGATATCCTATTAATATTAAAATTCCGAAAGTTTGTAACGATGGATGGATAGATGAATGCTTGTTACTTTTTCACGCAAAAATTGCTGAAAGGTTTCGAGTGAAATTTGGTACACAGATAGGTTATATCCTAGTCTAGTACATAGGATACTTTAAATACTGATGCATGTGATTGAAGACGCGGGATACGTGGGTGTCGTACACCCACGGGAAAAGAAGGGGTGGCCCATTCTATGCCGGGGCACACACGGTGAATTTTATAATAAGTATAATATTGTGTATTATTAAGTAAATATAAATTAGTAAAAAATATATATTTATAATTATATAACTAATAAAGCATCATAGTAATATATTTTTGTATTATGGTTAGATTTGTTCATTTACCTAATTTCACTGAATTTAGTTCAGCCAATTTATTTTAGGTAATGTACAAATAGACATACATGAATAATGATGATTTCATATTATATATGTAGATAGTAGTCTTTAATGAGAGAATCATCGATTTATCAAGAGATAACGAACACAGATATAAGATTATAGATGTTTTATGACATTTGTGTACAGTTCATGGTCAGTTTACAGAAGAATCACCTACACAAATCTGATAATGCAATGTGGGACTAGATGTTCCCAATAGAATATAATAGCTGGTAGGTAAGATAAATTGTAGACTCTAGATATTATATATTCAATAAACACGTTAGTGAGACATGACCTAGGCTTACTTATATTAGTTTATAGCACGTTGTATTTGATTTGTTGTTTGCATGACTTAATTAAATTAATTTCGTAAAGTAATTAAAATACGTTAATTAGTATCTCGAGCCATTTAACAAAGTGGTAAATCTGACTTGTAAAAATATTAGCTTACATTGGAGGTGGGGGTGGGGATGGGTCAGTAATGGGGATTAATAGTCTAATATTCTTAATAATATACTCTGTCGGGTCAACCTCATGCGCTTTCCTCTGATAACCATGATAGT